CTCCCACAGACTCTGAGAATTATTTTGAGATGAGTCATCTTAACAATATGGAGACTTCCAAACCATGAACATGGTATACCTTTCCATTTATTCAGGTCCGCATGAATTTTATATTTTTTTTTATTTTTTTGAGAATTTTTTAATATTTATTTTTCAGTTCTTGGCGGACACAACATCTTTGTTTGTATGTGGTGCTGAGGATCGAACCCGGGCCGCACGCATGCCAGGCGAGCATGCTACCGCTTGAGCCACATCCCCAGCCCCTGCATGAATTTATCTTAGTAATATTTTGTAGTTTTTAGTGTTGAGGTCTTTTGTTAAATTTTCCCTAACTATCTGTCTTAGTCTGTTTGGGTTATAACAAAGTACCATGAACTATGTAGGTCATAAGCGATAGAAATTCATTTCTCTGTTTTGAGTCCTATGAAGTTCAAGATCAAGGTGCCAGCAGATTTTGAGGCTGCTGAGGGCCTGCTTTCTCATAGCTGGTGCCTTCTCTCTGTGTCTTCACCTGGTATAAGGGGCAAGGCCTTTCTCTGGAGCTTCCTTTTTAGGGACACCAATTCTATCTATCTTCTCTTATGACCTAATCATCTCCTAAAAGTTTCTGCCTCCCAATACTATCCGTTTGAAGGTTAGGAGTTCAACACATTAACTCCCTTCTCCTCCGCAGAGCTAGAGATGAGATGCAGGGCTTTGTGCATGCTAAGTAAGTCTTGTATCACTGAGCTATGTTCCCAGCCATCAGCACATGAATTTTTGGAGAGACACAAACATTCAGACTGGAGTGATATTTTACTTCCTTTTACATATCCTATTACAAATGGGCCTTTAAAAAAATTCCCCTCCCAATTGTTTTCTGCTAGAATATAAAAATTTAATTTTATTTCATATTGAATTCAATTGCTTTTGGGGGGGGCTACTGTAGATTGAACTGAGGGGCACTCCACTACTGAGCCATATCCTCAGCCTTATTTTGTAGTTTTTAATTTAGAAACAAGGTCTCACTGAATTGCTTAGTACCTTGTTTTTGCTGAGGCTGGTTTTGAACTCATGATCCTCCTGCCTCAGCCTCCCGAGCCACTGGGATTACAGGTGTGTGACACTGCATCAGGCTCAAGTGCTTTTTAACCAATGCATTTGCTAAATTCATTCATTACTTTTAGTATTTCTCTTTTTTTAATATATATATTTTTAGTTGTCAGTGGACACAATACCTTTATTTATTTATTTTTATGTGGTGCTGAGGATGGAACCCAGTGCATCGTGCATGCTAGGCAAGTGCTCTATCACTGAGCCACAACTCCAACCCCTAGTTTTAGTAGTTCTTATAGATTCCCTTGGGTTTTCAAAATAAACAATTGTATTACCTGCAAATAGCAATTTTTACTTCATCTTTTTGAGTCTTTATGCCTTTTATTTATTTTTCTTGCCTTATTACAAGGGCAAGGACAATGTTGAATAGATGTGCTAAAACCTGCCATTCTTATCTGGTTTCCAGTCTCAAGAGGAAACAATTTGATCTTTCACCATTAAGTGTAATATGACCTGCAGGGATTTTGTAGATGTTCCTCATTTCATACCTAATTTGCTGAGAGTTTTTCTTTTTCTTTTTCTTTTTTTAATTTTTTTTTTAGTTGTAGATGGACACAATAATTTTATTTTGTTTATTTATTTATTTTTATGTGGTGCTGAGGATTGAACCCAGTGCCTCACACATGTTAGGTGAGCGCTGTACCGCTGAGCCCCAGCCCCAGCCCCATCTTTTTCTTTTTTTGGTACCAGGATTGAACTCAGGGGCACTCGACCACTGAGCCACCTCCCCAGCCCTATTTTGTATTATATTTAGAGACAGGGTCTCACTGAGTTGCTTAGTGCCTCACCAATGCTAAGGCTGGCTTTGAACTTGAGATCCTACTGCCTCAGCTTCCAGAGCCATTGGGATTATAGACATGGGCCACCACACCTGGCCTTGAGTTTTTTATTTTCAATCATGAATGAGTATTGAATTTCTTTAAATCATTTTTGCATCCATTGAAACTATCATGTGAATTTATTGCATTTTCATACACATTTCTTTCATCATGTGCTGTGTGTGCCCACCATGGTGTACAAGCTATACAGCCAGGTGACCATGAACTGAAACCTCTACAAGTGTGAGCCAAAATAAACCTCTCTTCTTTTTAAGTTGAATGTCTTAGGCATTTTGGTACAGTAACAGAAAGCTGACTAACACATTAAGAATGAGGCTGAACCTTGTTCTTGTGCTTAAGAGCCATTTGCACTTCATATTTGTGTGATGTCTGGATTTATATCCCTCTAGGTCATTAGCATTTTCTTTTTGCCTTGTACATGTTGCTTATATAAGGAGAACAGGTCAACTTTGCTTTTCAGTTTCATTTATTACTTTTTGACATTATTTATGAACCTTCTGCCAGAAGAAAATTTAAGGTGTATATACGTCACCTCTGTCCTGCTCTCAGGTGATAGCTTGGCTTCAGGTCTCTAGCGACGGCAGCACAAATGCTGAGAGCTAGTCACAGAGCAAAGTGCTGCCCTCGTGAACCAGGAAGCACAGGAGGGGGGGAAAGCAGCAGGCCCCTGGATTAGGATCTAGGGACCTCCTACTTGGCCCATGTCCTAGAGGTCCCACCCACTCCCAGTACTACCACCAGGGACTAAGCTTTCAACACATGGTCTCTGAGGGGGACACTCTTGGTCACAGGGTGGAGAAATCTGAGAACGGTGACTCGTGTCCATGGCATGGTTGGTACCAAATTCCAAAGCAACCTTCCTGCTGGGACATTAGAAACCCTCAAGGATTTAAACTTATGAAAAAAAGAAAAAAAAAAAAAAATATATATATATATATATTAATGTTTGTGTCACTGAGTTCCCAGTTTTCCCTGGGCAGGTTTCGGGCTTTGTCCCTAGACCTTCCTTATGGGGCTTCTCTGGGGCTGAAGGCGTCACCTCTGTCCTGCTCTCAGTCTTCTTGCTCATTCTCAGAGTATTGCAGAGAATGTCACCCAAGGTTGTCAGTGGCCCAGAAACCGGCCAGTCCTTTTGAAGGGCCGAAACCTCAAGTTTGGGGCCAGAGAGGAGGACACAGGTCTGTGTCTCTGGGCTGTGGCTCACAGAAAGTGAAAGAAAAACACTGAGCTAAGCCCCCACCGGCACTTCCTGCCCCACGAGGGCAGCTCCACCGGCAGGGGACACATGTCTACCCGCGTCCCTCTGTCTTATGCTCCAAGTGAGGCGCCCTGAAACCTGTCTTCTCAGGAACACCCTGATCACTGTCACCCTGACCCCGAGGCCCTTCCCGGAAACCTCAAATCACTGTGGCTCCTCCCACTTGTCAGCCTGTCCCAACCCGGCCCTTCCCGGAACACCCTGATCCCATCCACCCTGATTTAGTGCCCTCCTCCCCAGAAACCCCCAAACCTCAAACCACTGTCTGCTCCTCCCGCTTGTCCTTGGGTTTCAGTCTCAAAGTCCTTTCCTCCAGGAAGCCCTCCTGGCACCTTGGCTCCGAGGGTCCCCGAAATCGCTTCGGGGTGACAATCTACCTTGGCCTCCACTAGACCGCCAGCTTTTCTGGGCAGGAGCGGGGCCCTCCTTGTCCCCCAGGCCTCACACACAGGTGGTGTCTGGCAAGCACCCAGAGTTAAAGTCAACAAAATACTCATCAAAGTCAGGACTTACCATGGGATTACAGAGACAAAGAAGAACTCTTAAATCTGTCCTTAAAGCTCTACTTCCTCTTGAGGACACTGGCTCAGCTGTGTGTCTGTGTATGTGTGGGTGCATGTGTGTGTGTCGCAGTACTAGAGATTGACTCCAAGGGTAGCTCCCCCTGAGGTACACTCCCAGCCCTTTTATTTATTTATTTATTTTTAATTTTGAGGTAGAGTTTGTAAGTTGCTGAGGCTGGCCTCGAACTTGTGATCCTCCTTCCTTAGCCTCCCAAGTCACTGGGATTTCAGGGGTCTCTTTACCTGGATGCTGCCCAGGCTTAGCCCCTCCTCCTCAAGGTGGCTTCAAGGCTCTAGTGAATGTCACCAGCCCCTGCTTTGTACCTTCCTGTGGCTCCTGGTTACTCTTTTTTTTTTTTTTAAGTTCTTTTTTTTTTTTTTTTAATATTTATTTTTTAGTTATCCGCGGACACAACATCATTGTTTGTATGTGGTGCTGAGGATCGAACCTGGGCCGCACGCATGCCAGGCGAGCGCGCTACCACTTGAGCCACATCCCCAGCCCCTCCTGGTTACTCTTAGAACAAAATCCACCTTCTCCTAAAGACCCTGAAGTCCCAGGATCTGGCTCCTGCTGACACCCCGGCCTCCCACAGGGGTCTCCTGGCTGTCCCCCTGAACTGCTAACCCCCCTCTGCCCTGGCTGTGTCCTCCCGGGTACCCCTTCTCGGGCCAGTTCTTAGCCCTGCTTCAAGTCGGGACCCCTTTGCGTCTGTCTCTCCTGTCACCACGCCTTTACTATCCTGGATAATTTGGCTTGTCCTGGTTTGCTGCCTCCCAGCCAGGCTGCCGACCCCGAGGGGGCAGGGCTGTCCCCCTGTCTTTCTAGGGCCAGAGTCCAGGGAATGATGGGGAAGTGGCTGAGTATTAAGAAGTCTCCCGAGAGAAGCACCTCAGAGGAGAGCTTGACACTGCTTGGGCCTCTGTGTCCTTCCCGGGGAAACCCAGCCCCTGCCCTTCCCTAGGTGCCCATCAGTTCTACTGGGCACCAGGCCACACTCGTCACCCGTGGGTAAACCCCAGCACCAGCGGCTAAGCCACGAGTGGACCTGGGGCCCCCCGACCCGCTGACATGACCTGGGCCCCATCTGTGCGTCGCCCCTTCCCCCGAGTCTGGCTCTCCAGCAGCTGGACTGAGAAGGGCTACCCCTGCGGAGTTCTGGAACTTTCTGCCCCTCCCTGGCCAGACCCTGCCGCCTCCCCTCCCCCACCCCCACAGAGGGCTCTGACTTTCAGTAAATGACAGAGGCTCAGGAAACCAAGGGGCCCGCACAGGAAGGAGCCAGTGGGGCTTTCCTGCCTGGCCTCCCGGCCTCGCTCGGCCTTCCTTAGTCCAGGGTTCCCACCGCCAGGTAAGAGCTGGCGGGGCCACAGGCTCTGGCCACCCCTGGGGGGACGGTGGTGGCTGGGGACGGCTGGGCTGGTGGAGGGACTGAGGAAGCCTAGGAGACCCGGTCCTCAGGCTCCAGAGCAGCGGCGGCTGGGCCTCTTCTCCAGGGACAGTGCATCTCTGGCTCTTGGGGTCCCCGCGTGGTCCTGCCTAGAAGAGCGCCCCAATTCTAGCCCTGCGCCCCTGCAGGAGGCATTGCGCATGCGCCGGGCCCCAGGGGGCCAAGGTCGCAGCCCCCACTCCAAGCCCGCCCGAGACTAGAGGGCGGCCTGGCTCTGACAGGGGACCTCCGGGGTTAAAAAGAGGGGCATTTTTCTGGGCCCAAATTTTACCTGTGACTTTTACTTTTTTACTTTCAATATGCGAAAAAAATATATATATCTTAAGATTTATTTCAAAAACAACAGTACTGTGTCCAGGAGGCCCTGTGATGCTGGCCTCTGGTGACACTGGGGTGTCCCTTGGAGAACATTCGCTCTCCTCAAGCCTCCAGCCAAAATGGTACCCACCACACCACTGGACCAAGTGTCCTTCCCGTCAGTGGACAGGCATTTGTTGGACACTCCCTGGGCTGGCGTGGAGGACTGTCCCACCATGTCCTCGCTGTGGGCCTGGGTTGGGTCCAGCCAGTCACCTCCCCGAGACTGGAGGGGGTTCGGCCCATTTTACAGCTTGAGAAACTGAGTCCATGAGGACGAAATACGGCAGGGCTGGAATTTGAATCCAGAGCCTGGGGGCTTCACGCATCCCCAGCAGGAGGCTATATTATGGGGGTGTTAAAACATAATTTATGCTGTGTCCCGTTTCCTGCCCTGCGGGGGCCCCCCGTTATTTTGGAGCATACACACAAAAAACCTTTTTTTTAACCCAAGGTTCTCTCTGGGTGTCTCCTCAGGTCAGTTGCAGTCCATCTTGAAGACCTCTGTGTTTTTTCTCAAAGCTCCACCCCTTGTCCCGCCCAGTTGGGGTCCCTGAGCTGAGGCGGTTGCGCAGGAAGGAACCACAGACTGGGAGGTGGAGGGGGTCGATTTCCTCCTGGGCCCATCCAAGGAGCTTTCTTGCTATGGGAGCCCCGTGGAGCATGGGGTGGGGGACGGTGGCGCAGGCCTGCAACCCCAGCAGTTCTGGGGGCTGACCCAGGAGGATTGCAAGTTCAAGGACCCCCTGGGCAATTTAGCCTGACACGGGGGAGGGAGGCAGAGAAGACCCAGAAAGCACTGTCAGTTGTCACCTGACTGGACCCACCCCCAGGGCACATGGGGCACCAGGTGCAGAATCCTTCAGCGGTGACCTCAAACCCACAAGGAAGGATGGCCGTCCCTATCCCTCTAAACCCCACAGGCACAGCCAGCAGCCCTTGGCTTTTTGGTCCAGCGAATCTGCACAGCTGTGATTGGTTGCTCAAGCTGCCCCGGGGCAGGACGGGGCGGGGCTGGTTGCAGACAGGTGTCCACCCGGACCCAGGTGTCCAGCCCCAGCACAGCACTCACCGGGGCTGATGGCTCCTTCCACACCTGCCCATCAGCTCCTTCTCCTGACTGTGTCCCTCTCCAGCTCTGCCCTCCCCGCCCAGAAGCCCTGAGCCCTCTGGAGAGGACTAAGCGCCCCAGGCAGGCTGCACCCATGGCACCTCCAAGTGAGGAGATGCCCCTGATCTCCCAGCGCTCCTGCAGCCTCTCCTCCTCGGAGGCTGGTGCGCTCCACGTGCTGCTGCCTCCTCGGGGTCCCGGGCCTCCTCAGAGGCTGTCTTTCTCCTTTGGGGACCACTCGGCTGAGGAACTGTGTGTGCGGGCTGCCAAGGCCAGTGGTGAGTGGATCCCTAGAGGACTGGGTTAGAGGGAAGGACAGGGCTGTGTGGGGCCCAGACTGGGAGAGGAAATAGTTGCCTACAGGGATCAGCCCTGGAGCTGGGGCTTTGAGGGATGAATAGGAGTTTGGTCAAGGAGGAGGATGGACATTTGAGACTCTGAAGTGTGATGGCACGTGAGAACAGCTGGTCATCCTTTGAGATAAAAGAAAGCAGAGGGCAGCCAGGCGTTGTGGCTCACCCCTGTAATCCCAGCAGCTTGGGAGGCTGAGGCAGGAGGATCTCGAGTTCAAAGCCAGCCTCAGCTACTTAGGAAACCCTAAGCAACTCAGGGAGACCCTGTCTCTAAATAAAATCCAAAATAGGGCTGGGGATGGGCTCAGTGATCGAGTGTCCCTGGGTTCAATCCTGGTACCAAAAAGAAAGAAAGAAAAGCACAGAGTTGGGGAGGGCTTCGAGGGAGGCTGAGTGACGTGTCCTAGCTGAAGGTGAGATAGAGCCCTGTGAGCCTGCGTGGGGGTGGCCCAGCAGCCCTGGTGCTCAGGAGGGAGCTCACGGCCCTCTCCTAGGCATCCTGCCCGTGTACCACTCACTCTTTGCCTTGGCCACGGAGGACTTGTCTTGCTGGTTCCCTCCGAGCCACGTCTTCTCTGTGGAAGATGCGGGCACCCAAGTCCTAGTCTACAGACTGCGGTAAGAAGCCCCTCCCAGCCCCAGGGATCATAACATTTTATTGTCTCCCTGAACTTTGAGGACATGATCACAGCCCAATTCATAGATGAGGCTAAGGAGGCCAGAGAGGGTGGTTCACTTGCTCAAGGTAACACAGCAAAGCAAGGGTAAACGACCTGGGCTCTGAGAAGCCTTGACCAAGTCTGCTACAGCACCCCAAACCCTAATCCTGCTGAGGCCAGGTTGCCCGTTACCCAGGGCTTTCTCCTTTCTCACGCAGCTTTTACTTTCCCAACTGGTTTGGGCTGGAGAAGTGCCATCGCTTTGGGCTACGCAAGGACTTGGCCAGTGCCATCCTGGACCTGCCCGTCCTGGAACACCTCTTTGCCCAGGTGGGAGTCTGCGGGGCTCAACCCAGAGGTGGGATCCCAGGGTGACATGGGCTAGTGGCTAGTGGTTGCTGACCTTCACTGTGGCCTACCCCAGCACCGCAGTGACCTGCTGAGTGGGCGCCTGCACGTGGGTCTCAGCCTCCAGGAGCAGGGCGAGTGTCTCAGCCTGGCCGTGCTGGACGTGGCCCGGATGGCTTGTGAGCAGGGCCAGCGGCCTGCCCAGCTCCTGAAGACCGTCAGGTGAGGCCTCTGCTGAGCCTGGCAAGGAGCCAACGTGGCCCCCACAGGGCCCAGCCCCCAGTGGGGCTCCCCGACCAGCCTGTGTGTCCATGTGACTCAAGAGTCTCCATGAACTCGGTACCCCCCTCCAGGGCTCCAGATGGATGGAGGTCTCTCCTCCTGAGCTCAGAGACCTGTGAGGTCCTTGTTTGTCCAGTGGATGCCAGTGGCCTCCCCCCCACCGAGGTCCTGCCTGCCTCAGTTGTGTTCACGAATGTGTCCCTGTCTGCCTCGTGTCCCCACGGAGGCTGCAATTGCCCCTAAAGCTTGGTTTGTGTGTGACCTTGGAGGACCCCTCCCCATGCTGTAGGCCACCTTGCTCCCCTCCAACCCCCACAGCTACAAGGCCTGCCTGCCGCCTGGCCTGCGCGACCTGATCCAGGGTCTGAGCTTCGTGACCCGGAGACGTATTCGGACCACGGTGCGCTGCGCCTTGCGCCGTGTGGCGGCCTGCCAGGCGGACCGGCACTCGCTCATGGCCAAGTACATCATGGACCTGGAGCGGCTGGACCCTGCTGGGACCACCGAGACCTTCCGCGTCGGTCTGTCCGGGGCCGCGGGTGGCCAGGATGGGCAGGGGTTGCTCCGTGTGGCTGGTGGCAGCGGCATCTCCTGGAGTCCGGCAGCACAGGAGGTGCGCGCTGGCACTGGACCGGGTTGCACCTGCACCAGCTGGGAGGGAGGGGCCGACGAGGGGCGGGGTCAGGGGCGGGGCCTAAAGGAGGGTGGGAAAGTGGGCGAGGCTCAGGAGGGGCAGGGTTGGAGCCATTGGCAAGTGGTGGTGGGCGGGGCTTAAACAGTGAGGGAGGGGCCACCCAGGGGCGGCAATGGAATGGGAGGAGCTGAGAAGGGGAGGGGACTTAGTGGTGGGCGGGGCCAGAGGGCTAACAGAGGGTCCAGGAAAAAGGCGGGACTAAGGGAAGGGGCGGGGCTCCAAGAGCTAGGGACCCAAGGACGGGAGGAGGCGGGGCTTGGCAGGGAGAAGTAGAGGGGAGAGGCCAGGATGGGCATGGTCGGTGGGATCCAGGCTTCCAAGAGAGACTGAGACCCCCAGCCTCAGCCCTTTCCCAATTTCCCAGGTCTTCCAGCCCTTCTGTGACTTTCCAGAAATCGTGGACATCAGCATCAAGCAAGCCCCACGGGTTGGCCCGGCCGGGGAGCACCGCCTGGTCACTATCACCAGGACAGACAACCAGATCCTGGTGGGTACAGCACCCCTTGCCCTAACACTTCCCCAGAGCGGCAGGGACACGGGACCCCGGGGCTGCACCGAGCGCTGATGGGGGTTCTGCGCAGGAGGCCGAGTTCCCGGGGCTGCCCGAGGCGCTGTCCTTCTTGGCTCTGGTGGACGGTTATTTCCGCCTGATTTGCGACTCCCGCCACTTCTTCTGCAAGGAGGTGGCACCGCCACGGCTGCTGGAGGAAGTGGCCGAGCAGTGCTATGGCCCCATCACGTAAGGACTCACCCCTGCCGGCCAGCTCAGGGTCACTCCCCTTCTGGGCCCTCAATGTCCCAGATTTTCAGGAGCCCTGGACCAGCGGTCAGGTGCTCAAAACGCACAGGTGGCACTCCATGAGGATCTGCCTTCTGCTGCCAAGGGCAGCCTCTCTCCTGCTTCCTGCTTCCGACCCGTGGGACCCCAGGGCCATTTCCTGGAAAGGCCCTGATGCCTGGGTTCACCTACAGCCTCTCCTTAACCTCCCAGATGAAGTCCTCTGCTGACTTACGCGGGGGGGGGGGGGGGGGGGGCCGGGAGAATGTTCCTTGATGAGGGTCCAGGGCTTCAGAAGGATCAGAATTCAAACCCAGTCTGGCCTCTCGGCGGCCCTCTGTCTCTTGCTGCCGTGGGCTCCCTCTCCGTGTCCTCCCCCTTCACTCCGCCCTCCCTCAGCCTGGACTTTGCCATCAACAAGCTCAAGGCAGGGGGCTCACTTCCCGGCTCCTACGTGCTGCGGCGCAGCCCCCAGGACTTCGACAGCTTCCTCCTCACTGTGTGTGTCCAGGTTGGTGCACCTCCTGGGGCCAGGAGGCCAGAGCGGGCTGCCTGGAGAATGTGACATTCCACCTGAACTGAGCGAGCCTTGGCTCTTGGGGGAAGGGGAAAGGCTTGGAGACCCAGTGAGCGGCCGGAGCTGAGGGAGGAGGGAGGAGGGGAAGTGTGGCCCAGCCCCCACTCAGGGTCTCTCCCCTTTGCAGACACCCCTCGGCCCTGACTACAAGGGCTGCCTCATCCGCCGAGACCCTGTAGGAACCGTGTCGCTGGTCGGCCTTGGCCGTCCTCACAGCAGCCTTCGGCAGCTGCTGGCAGCCTGCTGGGACGGCGGGCTTCACGTCGATGGAGTTGCCCTGCAGCTTAGCTCCTGCTGCACCCCCAGACCCAAAGGTGAGCCCACCCTCTCCCCTGAGCGGGGCCATCCATCTGCAGCCCTGACTTTCTACACCTGTGACAACTCTTGTGTGGTGACAAGTGGCAGAAACCACAGGTCCGGGTGGTCTCTTGGCCCCTGGGCTAGCGTTCAGCCTTCAGGTACAGGTGGATCCAGGCACAGCTGGATCTGCGTGATACCAGTAGCATGTACTTTCTCTCCGTCTCCTTCCTCTTGTGGGTGACAAGAAGAGGAAAGAGTTTTGCTCAGACAAACCCCTCTGAAGGGACAGCTCCGTAGGAACACCAGTCGGTGCTCTGGTGACACCCCCGAAGGGCTCCTTCCTCCCTGCTCACATCCCTGACCCCTTCTCAGGATCTCCTTTCAAATAAACTGTGTCCCCTGAGTCTTCATCTCAGAGGACCCCAAACTAAGAAAGCACGTTGATTCTTGGGGACCTTTCTCTGACCTCTGATTGTCTCCCCCCCCATAGAAAAGACCAACTTGACTGTGGTCCGGAGGGGCTGCGGCCCACCCTCCACCTCCCCTGCTCAGCCCCAGTCCCAACATAAGCTGAATCAGATGACGTTCCACAAGATCCCTGCTGACAGCCTGGAGTGGGTAAGGGTCCCAGGAAGTGGGGGGCTCCCTCAGTCTGGGGACCAGAGACTCAGCTCAGGTCCGCCTGTCCCGCGCAGCCTCGGGCTGTAACCTCCCCAGCCTCCGTTTCCCCATCTGCCAAACGGGGCAGAGGCCGAGCCAGGAGCGGGGCCCCACAGGAGCCCCTCACTGGCCTCTCCTGCTGCCCCCTGCTCCAGCATGAGAACCTGGGCCACGGGTCCTTCACCAAGATTTACCGGGGATGTCGCCACGAGGCTGTGGACGGGGAGGCCCGGGCGACGGAGGTGCTCCTGAAGGTCATGGACGCCAAGCACAGGAACTGCATGGAGGTGAGCCCAGGGGGACAGATGCTGGGGCCAGGGCTGGCTGGAGGGAGGGAGGGCCTTGGATTCGGAGAGCTTAAAAGACACACAAGGCTGGAAAGCAACCAAAGCGCCCCTGCGGTCCCAGCTGCTCAGGAGGCTGAGGCAGGAGGATCCCTTGCGCCCAGGGGTTGAAGGCCAGCCCAGGAAACAAAACAGATGGCTAAGTGCATGGCTAAGGAGGCGTGAGGAGGCCAACTGGCCAGAGAGGAGAGCAATGCAGTGGACATCAGCAGGGGCTGGACACACAGAGGAAAGTTGAAGCTCTTTTCAAACCCAATTCTGTGTGAGAGACTCAAGGTAGATGAGAGTGGGACTTCCGCTCCCCATCAGAAAATCATCATCAAGTGTTGTGTGCATTGATGGTGAACTTCAGGGCCAAAGGAGGCCTGTGGCCAGTTCTCCTGGTGCGGGTTTTTGAGCACTAAGTCCGGGGTCCTCGGTTCCATCCCAGAGTCCAAGGAACTCATGCACCTCCTCCCCCTTCCCGCCCTCTCCAGTCCTTCCTGGAAGCTGCGAGCTTGATGAGTCAAGTGTCCTACCCGCATCTGGTGCTGCTCCACGGCGTGTGCATGGCTGGAGACAGTGAGAGCCCCGCGCCCCACCCAGGCACCCCGAGCCCTGGCCGCTCCTCACCCCCACTCAGCTCTGGAGCGGCAGCACTAGCCATAGCTGAGCCCCCAGTTGGCCCCCAGGGTCCACCAGGTTCCCACCAGTCTCCAGAATGATCTCGAGTCACACGGACCTTGGTCTCCACCTCAGTGAGCTGTGTCCTTGCTGTGCTGCCCTGCACGGCCACATAACCTCTCTGGCCCTGGGTTCCAGTAGCTCAGCTGAGAAGCTATTTTTCGGGAGTCTGGTGTGTGCCAGGAGCTGGCACGCGGCCTGGAAGGTGACAGACAGAGCAAGAAAGGGCACTGTGGATGCTCAGGGGACCCTTCTGGGTAGGGGGCCTTTCAGAGAGTCAAGGGCGAGGATGGAGAAGGGGGGGATGAGGCAGAGTTCTGAGGGCAGGAGAGGCTCGGAACCCGAGGTGAGGAGAGGGTGGGGATGGGCGGGAAGGAGGTGGGCGGAGCCAGCGCTAGGGATCCTCCCACAGAGAGGGGTGGGCGGAGCCTGCCATCACTGCGCACCTCCCTCACCCTGCTCCCGCTGCCACCAGGCATCATGGTGCAGGAATTCGTCCTCCTGGGAGCCATAGACACCTACCTGCGCAAGCATGGCCACCTGGTGCCAGCCAGCTGGAAGCTGCAGGTGGTCAAACAGCTGGCCTACGCCCTCAACTACCTGGTGAGTGCGCTCCAGTTGCGTTGGCAGGAGCTCTGGGTGGGATGTCAAAGAGAACCTCATGCAAAACGTGAGCAAGGGTCTTAACTGCAGGCTGAGGGCTTTGGCTTGGACCAGTGGGGAGACAATGGGGAGCCACAGGTGGGGTGCTTTTTGAGAGGGGGAGGGACACAGTCAGGTGGGTTAGAGGAGCCAAGACAGGACACCAGGAGTCTGGGGAGGTTGCCGGAGTCCATCAGATCTGTAGCGGGTGGGCTTTGAAGGGTGTGTAGGAGTTTGCCAAACAGGATTCACTCATCAAACCCTGGCTGGCATTTCCCATGCCCCGCCCACTCAGGAGGACAAAGGCCTCCCTCACGGCAACGTCTCAGCCCGGAAGGTGCTCCTGGCTCGGGAGGGGGCTGACGGGAGCTCGCCTTTCATCAAGCTGAGTGACCCTGGTGTCAGCCCCACTGTGCTAAGCCTGGAAAGTAAGTGCTTAAGAAAGTGGGCTCTGGAGGTTGTGCAGGAGTCTGCCAGGCAGAACGTGGCTCATCAGATCCTTCCTGCATTTCCCTGTGCCCGGCCCACTCAGGAGCACAGAGGTCACCTCCACGGCAGTGACCCCTGACCTTGTCCCTGTCCCTCAGTGCTCACTGACAGGATCCCCTGGGTGGCCCCCGAGTGTCTCCAGGAGACCCAGACGCTTGGCTTGGAAGCCGACAAGTGGGGGTTTGGTGCAACAGTCTGGGAGGTGTTCAGCGGGATCCCGATGCCCCTCAACCACCTGGACCCCCCCAAGGTCAGCACTCCCACTGGACTGAAGTTCAGCTCCGGGAAGTTGGTGGACTCAGGTGGGGGGATCCTGAGGATGGACTGGGGGTCACCGCCCTCTCCTCCCTGCCTCAGAAACTCAAGTTTTATGAGGACCGGCAGCAGCTGCCGGCCCCCAAGTGGACAGAGCTGGCCCTGCTGATCCAGCAGTGCATGGCCTACGAGCCAGGCCAGAGGCCCTCCTTCCGAGCTGTCATCCGGGACCTCAACAGCCTCATCACTTCAGGTACCAGGCGGGGTGGGCAGAGTGGGTGGGGCTGCAGTGTCCAGTTGGGCCAGTGGGAGGAGCATGGTTTGCATTCGGAGCCTCCCAGGTGCCTGGCAAGGTTGGAGTCGGTGATGACTGCTCACAGTCAGCATGAGCCATGAGGTCTGCTATAACAAACAGGCCCCTAATTCAAAGTTCAACTCACTGGATATTTAGTGTCCAGATCCATAGGCACTTGGCATTTTGTGAATCTACCCAGCTGGCTTTCCAATGACCGGAACTGGAGGAGCACCAGAACACCTCCTGCGTCGGTCCCAGTTCACTCAAATTCTGATCTCATAGGAGATGGGCAATGGGGTCTCACCAGGCCCCTCTGGGTCTGTACCATATATGTGCACTGGGCAAGGGGGCTGCCTTGGCCAGAAGGTGCCTCTTTCCATTTCCCACGAGGTACTCTTTGCCTTGCCATAGTGCACAGAGACGGGTAGTGTGCAGATCTGCAGTTACACAGCAGATCAGCTTAGGTGCCGCCAGAATGAAATGTGCCGCTCACCACTCTCTGTGACCCTAGACTATGAGCTCCTCTCAGACCCAACCCCTGGTACCCTGACACCCCGCGATGGGCTGTGGAGTGGTGCCCAGCTCTATGCCTGCCAGGACCCCACGATCTTTGAGGAAAGACACCTCAAGTACATCTCACAGTTGGGAAAGGTGAGGGGGCTGGACTGAGGAGGCAGGGCAGACCCCAGGCTTGAGGATACCAGCTCTGTCTCTCCCCAGGGCAACTTTGGCAATGTGGAATTGTGCCGCTATGACCCGCTGGGTGACAACACGGGCGCCCTGGTGGCTGTGAAGCAGCTGCAGCACAGTGGGCCAGATCAGCAGAGGGACTTCCAGCGGGAGATCCAGATCCTCAAAGCCATGCACAGTGACTTTATTGTGAAGTACCGTGGTGTCAGCTATGGCCCCGGTGAGCCACCTCTGGGAGCTCTTCCAATTGCACCTACTCCTGCTGTTACTTCATGTGGGTTCAGAATGCCAACCAGGAACGATTCACGTTTGGTAATCTAGATTCAGATGGACATTGGTTCAAACCCTGCCTCTGCCCCTTACCAGCCGGGCAAAACCTTCAGCAGGCCGTTCAACCCGAGTCTCGGTTTCCCAACTGAAAAACGAGCTATTATGAGATTTAAATGTATCAATGTATGTTGTAGAAGGTGCTCAAGAGAAGTACCATTGTTGCTGTTCCTATTTTGTGGACAGCAACACTGAGGTAACAGGACACAAGGAAAAGTGGGAGGTCGGCTGTGGTGGGGTGCATCTTTAATCCTAGCTGCTCAGGAGGCTGAGGCAGGAGGATCCAAAGTTTGAGCCCAGCCTCAGCAATTGAGCGAGACCCTGTCTCAAAATAAAAGTAGAAAAGGTTGGGGATGTAGCTCAGTTTACAGTGGTTGCTAGCATGTAAAAGGCTTGAGTTCCATCCCCAGTACTGAAAAAACAATCAAAAACACCAGGGGAGCTGTCAGGGCCGGTGGGCCTTCGGCGACACCTCTCACCCTCTGCAGGTCGCCAGAGCTTGCGGCTGGTCATGGAGTACCTGCCCAGCGGATGCCTGCGTGACTTTCTGCAGAGGCACCGCGCACGCCTGGACTCGAGCCGCCTCCTCCTCTACGCCTCGCAGATCTGCAAGGTGGGGGGCGGGAGTGAGGGTGGAGCGACCCCAGGACCTTCGGGGCCCATCGGGTGGGGTGCAGGCCGAGGGGCGGAGTTTGGGATCCAGGTGGGATTGCGGGGTGGGGTCGAGTTGGGCTCTGTCAGAGCCGAGCCCAGGAGTCCGGGGTAGGCTCTGGCTTGGGGTCTGGGTCGGGGTGGGGTCGAATTCCGACCCAGTTTGGGGTCCCTCGGCAAGTGCACGCCGCCCACCCGCAGGGCATGGAGTACCTGGGCTCCCGCCGCTGCGTGCATCGCGACCTGGCGGCCCGGAACATCCTGGTGGAGAACGAGGCTCACGTCAAGATCGCCGACTTCGGCTTGGCCAAGCTGCTGCCGCTCGACAAGGACTACTACGTGGTTCGCGAGCCCGGCCAGAGCCCCATCTTCTGGTAGGGACCCACCCTGGGCGCCCGGCCCCGCCCCTACCTGGCACCGACCACGCCCCTTGACCGTAGCCCCGCCCACCGCCCGCGGCGCCCCGCCCCACCAGAGGCTCCTCCCCCTCTCATCTCTAGCCCCCAGCCCAGGCCCCGCCCCGCCCCACCATGGCCCCGCCCACCAGTAAACACTGGCCCCGCCTCCTCCCTCTACTGGCCGGGCCTCCAGCCTTAGCCCCGCCCCTCCTCCCTACCTGGCTCAGCCCCCACCCCTCAGGGTCCTGGCTCCGTCCTCTCCCGCCGCTTAGCGCCTGGCCTTGCCCTGGCGCCAGGTGGGGTCGGAGAACCCTCCTGTCCTCCAGTCAGGGAACCAGACCGCGGGGCGCCACTGGCCTCCGAGCCACCACCTACGCTGGCAGTTCCCTGTCTCGCGTCCGTCCTCGGCCCCCCACGAATCTCAACTCCCGTCCCCCCTCCCCCGCCAGGTACGCCCCCGAGTCCCTCTCCGACAACGTCTTCTCGCGCCAGTCCGACGTCTGGAGCTTCGGGGTCGTCCTCTACGAGCTCTTCACCTACAGCGACAAGAGCTGCAGCCCCTCCGCCGTGAGCAGCGTCCGCACCCCGCTCCCTGGTGGCCCATCCCCATCCTGCCTTCTGCTGGGATCCCCTAATTCTAGGCCCCGTGGGGAGGACCCCCTTCCTGCCACCCACACCCACGGGCGGCCCCTCCCCCTTCCCTCCCCCTTTCACTGCGGCAGACCCCCAGCCCCCCACCCGCCGCCCCTTCCCCCCTCGTGGATGGCCCGTCCCCAACGCGGGCTCTCCCTTTTGGTCCCAGGAGTTCTTGCGAATGATGGGGTGCGAGCGAGATGCCCCGGCCCTCTGCCGCCTCTTGGAGCTCCTGGCCGAGGGCCAGAGGCTGCCGGCGCCCTCCGCCTGTCCCCGTGAGGTGAGCGCTCCGGGGTCTCGAGCTCCCCACCGCCGTGTCTCTTGATTGACAGCTGGGACTGGCTGTGCGGCTGGAGGGGATCCTGACCCCGAGGTAGCCCCTGGCGCCCTGTGTGGCAGCTCACAAACGCTCATCAGAACCTCAGTTTACTCATTTCCAAAATGGGGATAGTAAGGTCTCCTGGGGAGGGAGGCTTAGACTAGGCAGTGCCTACAAGAGCCCAGCTCCGAGCCCTGCCCCCTGTGCGTGCTTCATGAGTGATGGTGATTCTCACGGTTTACGACCTTGTATGTGTGAGACACGTGGGTGGTCATGCACAAATTCATCCACTCAGGTCACCATTCATTGAATGCCAACTGTGTGCCAGACCCTGGAGTGGGTGCCGGGGACTCAGTAGGTAGAGAAGAGACAGATACTCTCTGTCTTCAAGTGAACAGGAGCACCTGGTGGGCATGGGCGCCTTGACATAAGAAACAAACAACAAAAACCTTGGAAGAGATAAACAGGGAGGAATGGTGGAATGGGGTCACCAGGAGGTCCTGTTAGAGGGGGTGATGCCTGACAGAGGAGGAGAAGCCCATCCCTGGGTACAGATGGGAGAAGGGATCCCAGTGTACATACAGGAGGTGCAAAGGCCCTGAGGTGGGAATGACCTTGGTGCGTTTAGATAACAGTGAGGCAGAGGTAGGAGTGGCTAAGTGGAGCAAACATGAGAGGGTGTGCGGGGGGAGATACTAGGAGGAGGGCTTCAGGGCAGGGATCCACTGGGAGCCGTGGGAGGAGAAATGGGATGGAGATTAATTTCTATTTTAAAACTGAATGGGAGTCTCGTCCTTCCAGCTGCCTGGGCCTGATCCCACTGTACTCCCGTCCTTTCAGGTTCATGAACTTATGAAGCTGTGCTGGGCCTTGAGCCCACAGGACCGGCCGACCTTCAGTGTCCTGGGTCCCCAGCTGGACGTGCTGTGGAGTGGAAACCGGGGGTAGCAGCCGAGGGCGTCAGAACTACGCCTTCTCCGCTGGCTCATCCCAAGGGCAAACCTGTTCCCCATCCTCTTTATATCTCCAGAACTCAGATCTCCGTGTGACCTCAGGCAGAGGACTGCCCCTCTCTGGTCCCCTGAGGCCTTGGGAGGGTCCCCTGCTTCATGAAGATCCCTCCTGGGGCAGATGACATTGGTCAGCAGCCTGGTGGCCCCAGAAACTTGTAAAGATGCACGGCAGATGGCTCCTGAGCCCTGCCCGCAGATGCAAGGGACAAAATTCAAGCCCCTCCTGGCTTCCCATCCCTTCTTGGTGTGGCCCTGAGTTTCCTTTCTTCTTCCCAAAGTGGATACGATGTAACTTTAAGTATATGATCTCAGCCATTGCTTTTTGGGGGGTTCTGGGGATTGAACTCAGGGGCACTTGACCACTGAGCCACATCCCCAGCCCTATTTTGTATTTTATTTAGAGACAGGGTCTCGCTGAGTTGCTTAGGGCCTTGCTAAGTTGCTGAGGCTGGCTTTGGACTCATGATCCTCCTGCCTCAGCCTCCAGAGCACTGGGATTACAGGGGTGCACCACGGCGCCTGGCGAGGGCATTGCTCTTTGACCCAAGGATGAGAGATGCTGTCCTGCTTGGGGTTTGCAGGACAGAGCCTGTGTCTGTTCCAGATGGAGTAAGGGGACGGGAGGCTGGGGTTCCAGTGTCCCCCTAGCCATGCCTGAGTGTCCCTGGACTTCAGTTTCCCTACCTGTCAGTAGGACCCTTTCTGTCCTGACCCTCTAAGGTCACACAACAGATGATATGAGAGCCTGGTGGGAACTTTTGAGGCAATTGAGAGAAGGAACAGCATTCCTGGCAGAGAGAACAGCATGCCAAGGGTGAAGGGGCTCAGAGTACGGAGGTGAAGAGCCCAGGTTTTGGAGCCCACCTTTCCCCCACTTACTGTGTGAGGGTGGGCAAGTTGCTTCTCCTCTCTGGTCTCAGTTCTGCAAGGGCAGAACTGGCCCTTTGGTGGTAGAGGCAACTTCCTGAGGCTGGTGAGGAGGTGTCTGGTTCGGGTTATGCTCCCGTCACTCTTATTTATCTGAAGGGTTTTCTGTTACTTTGCCTCCCTGTGAAGCTCTTATTCATCTCTCAAAACCCCAGCTGTCATGTCCTTCTGTGTGGCCCCCACACACGCTGCGCCGGCCCTGTCCTGCTCTCCAGTCCAACTACTGACATGGGGGGCTCTTTGGGGCCTGAGCTGAGGTCTTCGCTCAGGGTGGGCACACAGTGGAGTCTGGGAGTGTTTGTTGAATGAATAAAGGATTCAGTGGGAAGGAGGATTTGTTGGTGTACTTGGCGTCTGAGGGTCTGACAGGGCTGTGGGCCAGGACACTTTGGGGGTCCACTGTGGGATTCTTGGGCCAGACTGGGGAGGAGGGCAAGTGGGGGAGACCTTGGCCAGAGGACAGGCCTCCTCCCCTCCAGCCCAGCTGCCGGCCTTGGCTCAGACCGTCCTGGGAGAGCTGATTACAGGTTCCTGGGGGGCGGAAGGAACAGCCTGCTCTGGGGTCAGAGGGCAAGGCTGGACAGCAGAAGGCAAGGCTACCAGGATGGGGCCAGCCTCAGCTGGGGCGGGCCAGCCCCCATGACACAGAGAAGGAGAAGGGGGGAGACAGGGAGGCTAACCGATGGAGGCCAAGAGACTTAGAAGCAGAGACCAAGGACCTCAGAGGTCTCCATCCCTGCTCTCTCAGCCCCAGCAAGGCCCCGATTTGATGGGAAAAGGGAGGGAGGGAGGGGGCTGCTCTGGGAGGGAGCCAATCCGCTGCCCATCCAGCTCCCCTCTCTCAGCCTCAGTTTCCTTCTTTGGCAAAAGGGAACCATAAGATTCCCCCCACCCACCCCCTGGGCCTTGGGCAGGCCCAGGACACACGGACTGTGCCCGTCTCCAGCCTGGCTCCTGGGAGACCCTGTGTGTGGAGACCCCCGCCCTGGGGCTTGGAGGAAACCCAGGCCCTGCTCAGTCCCCTGGGGCCTTGGACAGGCCTGGGGTCCCTGTGTGGACCTCCGTTTCCTCACGTGTGCAGTGTCAGGGACAGGAAGTGTCTGAATGCTGCTGAGCTCAGGAGACCCCGTAGCCCCCCATGCTGGCTGGCTTCCCCCTTTCTTTCTCTGTCTGCTGTCCATCTGTCTCTGTCTGTCTGTCTCTCGGGGACTGACCCAGGTCGGGTGCATTCATTTGCTCACACAGGCCCTGATCCCACCCTTGACCTTGGCCCCGCCGGGAAGGCTGTGTTCCTCCTCCAAGGGCCCCCAGCTGGGGCGGCCCAGGCCCTATAAGGGGAGAGTCCCCGGTGGGGCTGGGCGTCTTCTGCCACCATGGACCCTCGTCTGCCCGCCCGGGCACTGGCGCTGCTGTTCGCGGCCCTGGTGCTGGCGATGGGCCCCGCGCTCGCCCTGGAAGCGCGCGAGAAGCTGTGCGGGCAGCACTTCGTGCGCGAGCTGGTGCGCGTGTGCGGGGGCCCGCGCTGGTCCCCCGAGGCTGGGAAGCCGGCGCCAGGCGGCGACCGTGAGTGGGGACGGGTGGGGACGGGCGGGGACTGCGCTCGGGGATGCCTGGGTGGAACAGGTGCAGGCGGGCAGCGGTGAAAGTCGCCAGAGGCTGGGTCCCCTGCGGGTGTGGGGACCGTGGGCGCAGGAGAGCAGGACATTCCAGTGCGCGGGTGGGACGCTCTGTATATAACAACATTTTGATTTTGATGAATTTCCCCCTTAATTTTGATGTATTAAAGATTTTTGTTTTGAGACAAGGTGTCCCGAGCTGCTCAAGGCCTCGCTAAGTTGCTGAGGCTGGCTCTGAACTCGCGATCCTCCTGCCTCAGCCTCCGGAGTCGCTGGGAGACCCTGACTCTATATAAAACAATAAGAGAGGGGCTGGGGATGTGGCTCAGGGCTAGAGCTCCCAGGTTCAGTCCCCAGTGTACATGGGAGGGTTATTGCTTTATATTTTTTTATTGTCATTGTCGTGGTGTTGGGGTTGCCGGGCACCAGCTTTACCACTGAGCCCCATCCCCAGGCCCTAAAATATTCGTCTTGGTTTTTTGCTGCCTTCTCTGTGCCTCTTCCTCCTTACTCTGTCCCTGAGTCTCGTGTAGAGGGTGCTGGGTCCCTGGGTGTCCCCTTCCTGCACACGTGTGCACCTGGAGGGGCCCCACCAACTCTGCACCTTGGGGAGTGTGTGGCTCCATCTCTGACCAGGTCTTGGACCTGCTGGGGAACCAGCACCATCTGCAGCTCCAGGAGCCCAACATTCTTTGGGTCGGGCTTGGGGCACGCAGGTGGGGACATGTACAGCTGGGGACGTAAGTGTGGGCATGAGAGTGGATGACGGAACAAACAGCTTCCTGTGTGTGCAGGGGCCCCAAATAAGCAAGCCAGTTTCTCTCTCTCTTTCTGTACCGGGAATTGAACCCAGGGGCACTTGACCACTGAGCCACATCCCAGCCCTATTTTATTTAGAGGCAGGACCTCACTTTGGCTGAGGTTGGCTTTGAGCTCACCATCCTCCTGCCTCAGCCTCCTGAGTGCTGGGATGGCAGGTGCGCACTACAGCGCCAGGCTTTTATTTTTTATTTAGAGACAGGGCCTCACTAAATTGCTGAGGCTGGCCTCAAACTGACTTTCCTCCTGCCTCAGCCTCCTGAGCTGCTGGATCACAGGCGGTGCCACCACACATAGCCACTCCCTGTTCCCTGTGCATGAGGAGCCTCTGGTGGGTCCTCGGCTGGGTGCACACAGTGTGGGGTGTCCTCTGGGACCCCCGTTCCCTGCTGACTTCTGCTCTGTCCCCAGGTGAGCTGCTGCAGTGGCTGGCGGGAAGACACCTCCTTCACGGGCTGCTGCTGGACGGGGACACTGCGCTAGTGCCCGGCCCCGGGGCCCTGCTCCCGGCTTCTCACCGCCGCCGACGGGAAGTGGCCACCAACCCCGCAAGGCGCTGCTGCCGCAGTGGCTGCACCCAACAGGACCTGAGGGCTCTCTGTCCCCACTGAGCCCTCCCTGGGGGTGGTCCCAGGGACAGGCCCAGAGGCACAGAGCACCGTGATGACCGGGGGCGGGGCATGGGGGTTGCCTGGGACAGGCGCTCACCACCTCTGCAGGCCACTGTGAGCTGTCCTGTGAAGCCACCTGGGGACACACCGCAGCCTGGACTTGAGGATCCCCCGGTTCATGGAGCTGACACACGGGGCGGCGGGGCAAATGTCCTCTTTGAGAGGGGTCCCAGACGCTGCCCTCCTTGTCCCCGATGGGAAATAAACAATCCAGAGCAGCTCCGCGTGTTCTCTAGAGAAAGGGACGAGCCTGGGTCAGCCCTGCGTGGGCCCGTCCTGATGCCACCCTGAGGGTCACCCAGTGCAAAGGGGGAAACTGAAGCCCACAGAGGGGGACCCGGTAGCCCGCTGCAGGGCTTCTCCCAGCTCCCCTCCAAGGGACCCCCACCTCCAGCCCTGGAGCAGTGGACACAACCCAGAAATTCCTGAGTGACCATCAGAGTGGACATTTATTACTCCAGCTCTGAGCGTTCCTCTCACCGCAGCCTCCCTCCACCCTGGGTGGGGGATTGTATGATAGGACCCTTTCGTAAGACTAGGGAAGCATTTGGCTCAGTGACCCATTTACCTAGTGCCCAGGGCTGCTGTCACCAAGGACCACAAATTGGATGACTTAAACCACAGGAATTTATTCTCCTTTGGAGGCCGCTGGTCTGGAGGCGAGGTGTTGCAGGGTTAGAAATCCCTAGTGTCTCGGTTTGTGGCCACATCGCGCCACCGCTCCTCCATCATCACGTGACCTTCTGCTTTGTGGGTGTCTTTGAAACACCCCTGCTGGGTTTAGAGGCCACCCTAATACAGCCCTCAATACTTACCTTAATTCCATCTGTAAAGATCCTCTTTCCAGATAAGGCTGCATTCTGAGCTTCTAGGCGATATGAATCCATGTGGGAGGAGGAGGAAGCGGCCCAGGACTGCAGGGGAGCCGTGGGGCAATGGGGAGCCAGAGAGGATGTGAGAGTGTGAGCAGGGATAGGGCGGGGGCAGCTGTGGCCTGGATGTCCCCACCATGCTGGGTCCCCTCACCTGGTTCTGGGTCTCCAAGCCCTCACCACTCTGGTGCCTGCCTGTTCAGTCTTTGACAGGTTTGCCTTTTTGTTACAAGGTGGGTCCGAACGGGGACCCTTCCCCCAGGAGGCAGGAGGAGCACCCGGCAGGGTGTGAGGCACACAGTAGGCGCCCAGTAGATACTTGGGGGAGGAGAGGAGGGTTGGAGATGCACAGCCATTGTCCTGGTGGGAGGAGAAGCGAACGGGGCGGGGCCGGATGGTGGCCCCACAGGATTCAGAAGGGGGTCTAATGTCCCAGCTGTCAGGAGCAGTGCCACCCACCGCCTTTCACTCCAGGTCCTGCAAACCCACAGCCTGAATCAGCCTTGGCAGATGTGAGCTGGGGGCAATAGGGAGCCACAGAGGGCGTGTGAGCGGGGCTGGGGTGAGGTCCATATGCCTGACAGAAGCCCTCTGCTCCCACTTTCAACCACCCACTGCCGCCACGGGTACTTCCTCCTGAAATCTGAGACTTGAAGAGACAGATGTCGACCAGTCTCTCGTTAACACTTAGAAACAGCTTTTTTAAAAAATAAATTGATCTCCAGGTTTTCACAAAATGCTTTATTCCCTGAGGACACTCTGCCCAGCTGCCTCATCCCCAAGGGGCCTGGGGAGCTCAGGTCCCGCCTGGGGGCAGCAGGGAGTCACCAGCTCACGTGGACCCTCCCACCTGTAAAACACACTGGGGCCGCCTGGGGACCTGTCACCCCTTCCCTGGGCAGGGGGTGGGTGAAAGTTGGCCCCACTCTGAGCTGTTTCCTGAGCTCTTGGTGGGGGGGGTGCAGGTGTGGGGACAAAGCCCTGCTGGGGACTCGGAGCCACTCTGAGTTCCCACAGCCTGATGCGGACAGCTGTGTCCCTCCAATGACACTCAATGCCACAGGTGAGGCAGGGCGGGCCGGTCTCTCTCTAACCGAGGGGCCTGAAGCCCACAGAGGCATTAGGAGTAGAGCCGCCGGCCCAGGCTGACCACTGCTTCCCACTCCAGTGGACACAGGGGCCCCTGGATGGCCTTGAGCTGTGGCTGGAACTATCTACCACAAAATGACCAGAGCACCAGTTGGAAGGAGGGGTTGTGTCAGTCCAGTCTGTGATTCAGGTCAGAACTGGGAAGTGGGGCCTTCACCCAGGGGACCGGAGGCATCCACAGCTGGAACCCTGGCCGAGGGGCTTCCCGTCATCAGACACCATGGAAAGGTGCCGGTCACATTGCCTGGGTTTGCTCCCGACCGGAGAGGGAACTCTGGAGCACAGACCCGGAGGGTTTTGAAGGGTGTGTAGGAGTTCGCCAGGCAGCATATTCACTCCTCAGACCCCAGGGCTCCTTATGCTCAGCTCCCCTGGGAAGACCAAGTCCTCTGCCTCCTGCTTCCCAGGAGGAAGGGATCCTTCGTTTTTTTGTTCAAGTGGAGACAGGAGCTCAGTAGCGGGGGACCTTGAGGTGACCTTAGAAGACCTGCACCCGCTTGCCACAGGTGAAGTCAGGCTGGCTCAGCGCGTCCCACATGAGCAGCATCTCGTAGGGCAGGAAGCGGTGCACCAGCAGCAGCTCCCGGTAGAAGCAGGGGTCAAAGGAGGACAGGCGGGTGGATGGGGCTTGCACCCCAGCTGTGCGGATGCCGCTGTGGGAGGTGGGCTTCAGCCCCTCGCGCTCCAGGCACATGCCCAGGAAGACGTCGTCAATGGGGAAGAGGTCCAAGGCAGGGGCGGCCCTGCGCAGGGCAGCGGCGGTGAAGCGGGACAGCAGGAAGCCACCTCCCCCGCAGTAGGGAGGGTAGCGCTCCCCACGCGTCACCACCTGGGGCACGTAGTACTTGCTCCAGGGAACCCGGATGGGGCCCACATTCTGGATCAGATGCCCCACGAAGAGGTGTTGGTCGGGGTCAAGGCCCTGCAGGTAGGTGACCATGTTGTCAGTGTGTGCAAAAACGTCATCGTCCCCGTTGAGCACGAAGCTGGCGTGGGTGCACCTGGTCTTTTGCCACTCGAGGAACAGCACCTGCAGGGAAGGAGGGGTGTCAGCTTGAGGGCTGGAGTCACTCAACAGGGATAGCCTGTTACTGCCACTCTCTGGGGTGACCTGGGTCTCAGTTCCCAACTTTCCCACAGGCCTCATTATGGCACCTGCTTCCCCAGTTGGTGGAGCTTTGTAAAGAATCAAGATGTCCTGAAAATTGTGCCATTTATATTTATTGTGCTTCCCTTTAACTCCACCTGGCTGAGCCCTGTAGTTACTCATGTGACTACTAGTTGACACCTACCTTTCCCACTGGTCTCTGGGCTCCCTCAGGGTGGGACAGTGTCTCTCCTTTGTATTCCATCTCCCCAGCACCCAATATGGGGCCAGCATGTCACTAGCGCTAGGTGCATGCTTGTCAAGGTGAAATTTACTGCACTTATGCTTTAAGAAATCCCAGCTACTTGGGAGGCTTGAGCAGGAGGATCTCAAGTTCAAGGCCAGCCTCTGAAACTTAGTGAGGCCCTAAGTGAATCAGTGAGGCTCTGTCTCTAAACAAAATACAAAAAGGGCCGAGGATGTGGTTCAGTGTTAAGCACCCCAGGGTTCAATCCGTGGTGCCTCAAAATGTGACCTTGGGAGATAGGTGTGGTCCTCAATCCTGGTAAGGGAACAGACAGGGCATTGAGCAAGGTGACCCATGGAGAAAGAGCCACCAGAAGCCTTGGCTCCAGGCCTATGTGCCCCTGTGCTGTCCCCTAATGTGTCTCCACTTGGCTTTGCTCTTCCTGCTGCCCTGGGCTGGGTTCTTGTCCATCCAAAGGTCCTCATTGAGCACTTACTATGTGCCAGGACTGAGACACAGACCCAGCCTCATGGGGAGATAGAGCCAGCACAAATAAATGAGAGGGAGCCCCTGTCACTGCCAAACTTAGCTGAGCACCAGTTGCCTGTGGAAGTGCCTTAGGGTTTTGTTTGTTTTGTGATGCTGGTGATGGAACCCAGGGCTTCAGTCATACCAGGCAAGTGCTCTACCCCTGAGTGACATCCTATCCCAAGATGCCTTACTAATACTGTCTTATGTTGTCCCCAGAGCAGCCCTCAGAGGTGGGGGGGGGGTCTAATTCACATCCCATTTCCCAGGTCTGGAAAATCAAGGCACAGAGAGGCAAATGAACTCCCCCAAGGCCAAACAGCAACCAAGAGGCAGAGGCTGGATTTGAACCAGTGTCATCCCAGCAGATCTCTGCAGGTCATCTTAATCCCTCTGCCCTTCCTCCCAGTCACCCAGGGGAGGAGCAGGTCACTAAAAGGACAGCGAGGTCAGAGGAGGGGCAGTAGAGGGATGAGCGGAGGTTTCTGGTCCCCTGGGCCCCTGGAGGCAGGAAGGATCTGCCAGCGCACCGCCACCCGGCGCCCGGTCGCGCCCACCTGCTTGAGCGTGAGGTTGAAGAAGGAGTCGTGGAAGTCCCACTGCAGGATGTCGCCGTGCGTCCGCGCCTCCAGCTCCAGCAGCCGGTTGACCTTGCGGGCCTCGTGCTGGTGGCCGGCGCTGCCCACGAGGAAGAGGCGCCGCAGCTGCGCGCCCCGCACCTGGCGCTCCTGTCCCCACGTGCGCCGCACCAGCTCCCGGCGCTCGTAGTTGCTGGGCGACGACTTGATGGCCAGGAGCAGGAACACGGGCCGCGCGCACTTGTCGGGCGACGCGTCCTGCAGCAGCGGGAAGCTGCGACAGTGGCGGTACAGCAGGAAGTCGCGCACGTGCCGCGGCTGCCCCGCAAAATCGGGGTGCGCGGCGGCGGAGGCGTTGGCGAGGCACTGGGCGGGGCGGGGGCGCGCCGGC